GTTCTTCTTGACTCAGGAGCTTTTAAGCTCCTTAAAAGGAGCAAACTGTCAAGGAAATATTTAGTGGTGTTTTCGGCAAGTTCAAGAAGCAAGCCAAAAACGAAGGACTAGCCTGTATGAGTTAAAATACGTTTCACATCAAGACCGGTATTTACTGCTTTGTCTCATCAAAGAAGCTGGCTTTTCTGAGGCAAGTATATCAGTTTCACGGATTATTTCTAACTTCTACACAACAAACCTGTGGCTACTGAGGGATCTGTTTTCAAGCTTTTTGACAACGTGGATGCATTTTGCCTTTTTGAATGACGTCCCCATCCTTTTCTGGTCCGTGCCTACATTTCAAAGTAATAAGTTGTTCCTAGTTTTAAGCCTGTGATTTCCTTTGTAAGTTTGGATCCGTCGGCCTCTACAAATTTCCAGTCCTTAACAGGAGCATTAGGATCGGTGGTATAATAGATACGGTATTTGGTGATGTTGCCATTTGGTTCCCTCGGCGGCTGCCATTGTAACGCCATTTGGGTGAAGTTCTTTTCATCTGGACTTCCAGTCAAGTCAGTTGGCGGTCCGGGTTCTATAAGTATGAAAGCAACAACAAAAAAATCGTCCATAACGGTGAATAACGAAGGTGTAGCTAGCCGATTACCAGTCAACAACATAACATAACTCTCTTTACAAGGTGCCGTGAATTATTGGACATGAGCAGGGTTCGTTAGAACAATTCTAATTGCGAGACAACTAAGTTCTGGTCATGCTGTTGTATTCGTGCTTATCTATTGTGCTAAAAAATTAAAATATTCTTCGGGAATGTAGCTTGATGGGAACAATATTTTTCTGCTAATTCCCCATCCACCCCAAAGCTTAACATGTTTTAAAGCTGTTCTGTTAAACATGGCTAAAAAATATTTCTTCAAAGAAGCTGTTCAAACTAATGTTTGTCGACTTCTAACGTAGCACACTGAAAATACAAGTTTGTGATAACTTGAAATCTATGGAAAATTGAGTTCAGTTTCTGATTTTCATTCAGTTAAACCCGATTTAACAAAACATGTTTAGCTGGTGTGAATAGGGTACAAGATCTTTACACAACAGTCTAAACTTCGACTTACTAGCCTCCGCAGTAAGATTGCTGATAGTGGCATTTACTTTCTCACCATTTCGCCTCACATAAAAGGTGTACTTTGTACAGGGCTTCAAATGGGAGCATTTTGTTGATCTCTCCGTCGTATTTCCGCAATATATCAGTTTATTATGGCGAGAGTGGTAAACATGATAAATTACGGGCACAGAACTGGATCCTTGTTCATCTTGCCACGACAACTTCATTTCTCTAGGATCTGAAGAGACCGCTTTTAAACTTGTCACCGGCTTCGCATCATCTGAAATAAAAGATACTTCTGGGTGATTTTTATCATATCTATGCAAGCGCGAGTAAAAACCCTGCCTGTACAAAAATCCATATGCGACAAAAGTATTCTCTAGTTGATAATTTTAGAAATTGTCATTAACTATGTGCTCAACAAAGTGTTACTACCCTATGCTCTAGTCCTAGCCATGTCTTGCAAGGGTTTAAAAATAGGTTTAAGGTTTTTGATTCTACTCTGGTTTAAGGATTTAATAAATGTAACCGTGAAATTACAATTCATATAGCCAACGTTTCGACACTCCTGCCTAGTACCTTCATCAGGGGTTATCTGATCGTTGCAATAAGAGGTCCTTCTATACGCTCACTAATTAGCTGCCCTTTTTTCTGACGAGGTGTTAGAAGGCGTGAGGTAGTGAGCCGCCATCATCGCGATTTAAAGGAGCGCGGGGCGGGGTTGATAAGCTAAGTTTCCAAACAAAGGCGCTGGTGGTAACGTCGATTAGTGGAAATAATTTTAGAATCACAATAATGGCAATGACAGCAGAGACGGGCGAACTCATAGTTGTACCAAAGACCTTTTGATAGTGGGTGCCGTTGTATAATAATAATAATGATAATAAAAGTCTTTATTAAGCATTCCAAACAAATTGTATGCAAATTGTGTGGTTTTGAGGCAAAAAGACAGCAGATGAACCATATCTTCCACAGGCAAAGAAGTTATTTTTCCTAGGGAAGCGCCTACTCGGAGTCTCTCCACCGCAACTTTAGCGGCAAGATCAACTGGGATTTTAGTGAAGAGTGAAACAACTTCGAAAGATACCCACTCTTCACCGACGTTAAGAGTTTTATCTCTTATGAAATCCGCAAATTCGCCGGAATTTTGGACAGTGTTATCAGTATTCCCAACAACAGGCGACAAAGTTTTCGAAAGATAACCAGAAATTGCATAAGTCGGAGAATTAACAAGAGAGACAATAGGTCTCAATGGAATTCACGGTTTATGAACTGAAGTAAGCCGTAAAAACGTGAGCATAAGCCGTCACTACTGTAAAACATTTTGTACGTAAGGTCACTAATCTTACCCGGTTTTTTTCAAATCAAGCAACATTTTGTTTAACTTTCACTGAGTTTTGCTGGTATGATTAGAGTTTAAGACTACATATGTACGTTTCTCACTGAACAAGGACAAAGTTTTGTCAAGATATCGTTGTTTATCTAAAACTTCAACACCATTACCCTCGTCAGCAGCTAATATAGCCTGTCCGGATCTTTCTTAAGAGCTATGAGCGCATTGTAAATATCCTTTTGAATGCTTTTGGGAGGAAGTTTAGCTCGCGTGAGTATGCTGCTTACTTCTGCTCTTACCTAGTGGTTATGGTCGGCGTAGAGCTGAGAAATGCTCTGCTTCTACAGCGGCGACGATTTCAGCAGTCGGTATTTTGTTAGGAGCAATAGCAAACTTAATACCCTTCTCTAAACCACTCCGTTCCAGCGCGGATAACTCCAGAGAGAAAAGGTTCAAGACCCATTTATCTTTCAGAGATGAACCTGAATCACCAGGAGACCTCTTACTATGCAAATGGCGGAGTTTTCGGTTGTGTTTTTAACTCTGTTTGATGAACGTCGGTTGTTCTTTCGAACAGCAGAACTCCGCTACCCAGGAGGTTTTGGAGTTTTTGATCAAAGTAGAGAGTTCACTGAGTGAACGAGAGATAAACGCATGCAACCACTGTATAGAACTGTGGCAATCATCTATTCGTAACTTCAGGAAAGAAAAACCAGTACGGATCAAGAGCTTGTATCCCTTAGCACTCCACACGGGAGGCCGAAATCTCAAACTCGATGGAAGCACATTGTTTTCTTTGCAACGGTGATTGAAATACAAATGACAGCGATACTTAGTAATACGGAATCTGATGTTAGTGAGCCTGTTGACCATTGTAACAACAGTTTGACCATAATTTTCTCGCAGGTAAGACATATTAAAGTTCACAAAGCGACCAGTTTACATTCCCCGGTAACAATCACTAAATCCTTAAATCAGAGTAGCATCAAACCCTGTCTGACTGTCCACCTGGTTGCTTTGTGGACTTTAATGACCTACCTATTTCAGATAATGTTTGCACATCCTCTTGGACATCTAAACCATTGCCATTGCTGTTGACTGCAGTGAGTAAAATCACATACTTCTTGTTGGGCTCTGTGCACAGGAGAGAAAGAAACAGACAAAGACCAGACTATTACTAACGACAAAACATTCTGTACACTATAGAAGGTCAATTTCTGACACAGTAAGAGAGTGCAAAACATATAACATGGGCTATTTTAATGACCACTTTTTGTAAATTAGCCACATTGAGAATTTTTTAGGACCCAGTTTTGTAAAACAACGGCTAAACTTTGTTCGAATAATGTGACCCTAAGTTTCAGAGAATGTGACTTTATATAATTTGCGTTAAAGCAAAGCAGTTTATCGTTTACATTTCTTTGTCTTTTAATTCAAGAGTCACCAATAATCGGAAAGTAAAATTTAAAGCAAATTTTGTACGCAGCCATTCCACTCAATCATGAGAGAGTCGCCACCTTTCAAAGGTATTCTCTTTCACTGCTAATGCTTCTTATAAAATGATATAAATTACAGATCTATCACAATTTTCCTGTATCTGTATTTACAAAATACTTATATGCTCACTGATAAAATTGTAAATTGTGAAACCTCGGAAAAATAAGAATAGGAACATTCTGTTAAATCCAAAAGTAAGCGTGCACGATTCTTTCAAATAATTAGTCGTTTAGATTGGAAAGAAAACCAAAATGCTTTCTGTAGACTGCGATATTCCCCAATGAAGCATGCTTCATAAACCAAAATCCTTCCGGAAATCAGTTACATTACCAAGTTTACTCGTGATATTTACAGCTCCAGTCAACCACAAATTGGGCCTCCGCCTGTTTCACTTCCTTTTTTTGTATGAGTTACGATAAATTGTATGCCCAACAGCAAAAAGTTCAAGGTGTGCTGTTTATTTTTGACTCCAGTATCATCCTATACCTATCTTTTATTAGGGAGCTTTAGCAACGACGACGGTGACGGCAACGAAAACGTCGTGTTGAAATCTAACTTTTCGTTTTTGTAACTCTTTCGAGATTATTCCGATGTGTTTCACTTGGAAAATGCTGGCGAACTATTCAGGGACTATATTCACTACGAACGGCGTTAAAGTAAGGAAAAAGAAAGAAAAATTAACTGTCATCCGCTCACGTTCTCGAGAAAACCTAAAATTCGGTTATTTCACGTTATTAGGGAGTTTAAGCAAATCACTACGGCTGGCGCTGCTACGGCTACCGGAAGTAAAATTGTCCAGAAACGAGTCATTGCGCATGTCAGTGGTTCCCATCCAGCCGTAGCGGGAAATCCTTCTACGCGAGTGGGAAGGTTTCGGCGTAGTCTGTGGTACGTGAACTTATCTCGCTTCTTTCTTCGCTTTATACATTCTCCTGAGCAATTTTAACTATTGAAATACACTTAACATCTTTAAAAATAGCTTATCGGGAATATTTATCAAGCTTGCTGTCCCTTACCGAGTGAATCTGCCTTTATTTTTGC